GGTGCAGGAAATTAGTAGCCAAGAAAAAGTTGAATTTGAAGAGTTGAAAGAAAAAGTTAGGGAAATGTTAGATGAAAAACATGATAATACTACACAAAAACTTGAATTGGTTGATACAATCCAACGATTGGGAGTTGCATATCATTTCGAAAATGAGATTCAAACATCCATTCAGAATATCTTTGATGCGTCACAACAAAGTGAAAATGAAGATGACAACCTTTATGTTGTCGCTCTTAGTTTTCGTCAACTGAGAGAACAAAGCCAGCCCATTTATACAAATCTACCAAGGTTGGGAGCAAAGAAATACTTGTGTATGTATGAGAATAAGGAATCACATAATGATTTGCTTTTGAAATTTGCAATATTGGATTTTAACATTGTGCAAAAGTTGCACCAAAGAGAGCTTGGCGATCTTACAAGGTACATACACTATTATTATATGCTCTTCATTCACATGAATATGGTATATAGTAGTAACAAATGGACGGATTGAATAAGTTATAATGGGTCAAATTAATAATAAAAAAAATATATTTTTAGTCGTTCCTAATAATAATAGTCGACAATTATATATTTCTGTATATATGTGTATTATCTATAAGAATATACATATTTTATATATTTTTGGCTAGCGAATATATTAGTTTGGGCCGACCAGCTAATTTTATATTTTGCCCAATTGATAAACATGTCATGATACAAAGTTTTTTTTGGCCAAAATGGGTCAAATAAATGGTCATAACTTAGACCCCCCCCAAAACACACACACCCCAAACACATCCAAAATGATCTCCTCCTTTCTATTTTTTATTTTAAAAATAAAAAGAACGTGAAAGATAATCTATTTTTCGGAAAGTAGTAGCTTAAGTTGATCTTTTAAATTTACATAATTCTCAATCTTCAAACATGATTTTATACGTTTGATTTGTGTTATATTTTGACATGTCGATTAACACATCTTTTACCCATTGACTCAATAAATGGGTCATTTTGAGTTCAATCCATTGAATCGAGCCAACAAATAAGTCATGACCCAAGTCGTTTAACTTGGGTGGGTTGTTAAAAAAATGGATTGACAATATCACCTCTAGCTAGTATGCATATACTACGAATAATGCGATAGAAATGTAACTAATTAACCAATACTTTTGTACTATAGGTGGTGGAAAGATCTTGTAGAGCAATTTCCATATGCAAGACACAGATTGGTGGACTGTCACTTTTATACAGTAGGAATCTACTTTGAGCCTCAATATAGTTGTGCAAGAGAAATGATGACAAAATTACTCACTATATACACCGTTATTGATGGCACTTATGATGCTTATGCGACTTAAAATGAACTTGTGCGTTTCACCGATGCAATCGATAGATACGAGTAAGTTTTTACCATTTAAATATAATTGATCATTTAATTCTCTCATTGATGAATAAGAAAAAATTATATGTCAATTAAGTACATGTTACTTTCTTACGAGATGATTTGTATAAAAATGTAAAAATTAGCTTGTGACTTTGGTTCAAACCCTTAACGTGTAAATGTAACATTAGTGCCATGAATTCAGTACCACCCAATCTGAGACCTGCTTATCAAGCCCTTGTTGACCTTTATACTCAAATAGAAGAAAAAATTATCAAAGAAGGTAAATTGGACCATCTCTACTATGCAAAATATGAGGTAAGCTCCCTTAACTTCATTTCTTTTTAATCAAACCTTACCATAGCTTCATTAATTAGTTTAATTAACTAAGTTACAGTGAAGAAATGAAAAGAGTAGAGGGAAGGAAACATCCAAAATCTAAAAGAACACATGGTATATATACTTGCGAAGAATGGTGTGACCCTCTCGTTTAAAAGCTTAGACTATACTAAGAGAAAACACATATTTTACTTAATCATGTCTTCAACACTCCGTCTTACGTGTGGGCCTTATTCATTTTCTTGTGCCAAGAACACAATAATTGTTCTTGATAACGGATATCAGCTTTATCATGTATAATTGTGTGACCGTCTCATCTAAAAGCTTAAAGTATTAGAGAGGACACACTTTTAATTATTTACTTAATTATATCTTCAACATTATATAGTTCTGCATTTTTGTTTTATTCTCCTTCTTAGATGAAAAAGGTGGCTAGAGCGTATTTCAAGGAAGCGGAATGGTTAAATGTTGGCTATATTCCAAAATGTGACGAGTATATGAAGAATGCAAATATAACTACTACCTGTTTGATGATTGCAACAGCTTCCTTGGCTTTTATGGAGGAATCTATAGCCAAAGAGACTTTTGAATGGATGATAAATGAGCCTTTGATTCTTCGAGCTTCATCAACAATCAATAGATTAAAGGGCGATTGTATTGGACATAATGTAAGTACTACACTATATTTAATTTTCAGTTCGCAACTTTTTTCCCTATAAAAATAAATTGTATAATCATCTCATCTAAAAACTTAAGTTGCCAGAGTGAGAAGTTCGCTTTTGATTTACTTAGTTATATTCTCAACACGCCCTAAACATATAATATTTGTATTGAGTATTGAAATCTATTGAGTGCAGTTGGAACAACAAAGAAAGCATATAGCTTCATTCCTTGAATGTTACATGAAAGAATTTGGAGGTTCAAAGCAAGATGCATATGCTGAGGCTCAGAAGAAAATCACTAATGCATGGAAAAACATGAATACAGACTTTCTTTGTTCAACTCATGACAAAGTACTAACGTTTGTCCTCGAACTAGTTATAAATATTGCGCGTCTGGCATATATTTTCAAAGAAAATGATTTTGCAAGTGCCCAAAGCGAATTTAAAGACAAGATTACCCTGTTGTTTGTTGAGCCTGTCAATGTTTGAGGATAATTTGGAGCAAAATGTAGCTTGAGAATTAATAAATTATCTTCAGTTTATCAAGTCGGTGACGGCTCTCTTTCTGAATGTCTCAATTTTCTTTCTCAAACCTCTAGATAACGGCCGTATATTACAGAATCAAATGTGTTAAACTTAATAAAGTAAAGAAAAAATGTATTTGATATATTCAGCATAATCTAAGAAATGATCAAAATAGAAATGATTTTCTAATTTGCTTTTATTAAGTCGTATTGACGCCTATTTGTTTCCACTTTTTTATTTCAATGTTTGCTACATTACCTTCAAGCCTTGAACTACTTGAAATAGTCAGACCAGTAGATGTGGTTATGTTCTAAAGAAAGAAAACTAATGAAATTGAACTAATTGAAAGGAAATATGTGTGGTTGAGAGATCAAGTTTCTGCTCTTATTTTGAAATTTTGAAGCTACAAGTACTTTTTATCCATTACCATATTTTTTAGTTCTTATTGTGCTGTAATTTTGGAGATTTTGCATGAAGTAATTTTTTTTAAATTAAGCCATAGTATGCACCTAAAAACTTCTATATTCTTAGTCAACATACAGACTTGTGCTGCAGCCTGCACATTGAAGATATCCATTGGAAGACTGCAAATTTCTTTTACTGACCATGATGTCGTCATCTGGCAAATGTGTTAGAATAATATTATTTATGCTATAGCTCTTGAGGATTTTATGAATGATTTGAGTATTTCGTTGTGAATTATTGTTAATTTGGACTACACTTAGACACAAGGGGTTTGAATTGTGTCTTGCTTGATTTCCGTGTTTCCAGAGAACCTGGTTCTTTGAACTAGTTAAGCAGACTCAAATAAGAATAATTGCGGAAAAGTAATCAATACAAAGATCTTTACGTGGAAAACCTCCTTGATCGAGGGAGTAAAAACCACGACCTACCCAGTAGGATTTTCCTCAAATCTTCACTAACTTCAAAGAGCAGCCTTGAGGTTACAACTCAATAACCAACGGAACTAACTCTAGTACCCTAACCCCTACAATCAACCCAATTGTAGCAACCCCTTTCCGGACTAACTCTAGCCTAGAAAGCTAACAGAAACAAAGTCTTAATGATAACCTATTACAAAACTTTTATGAAAACATATAGTTACAAATCAGAACAACAGACTCAACCTAACAACTAAACAACTCGAGCAGCTTCATCTACCTGTTCTTCAATTGATTAAGCTAGATCTTCAGAAGGACCGTATTGCTTTGCTTGCTATTGTCAGAAGTACTCTCGCGATTTCATAATAGCACTAAGAGAATACCAGAATAGTACTAGTACTACCGGTAAGCCTAGGAGAAACTCACAACTACGCATCAACCTACCACCTTAATCCTCGACCTCTACACCTTCTTATCGTGGGTCATGTCCTCGGTAAGGCCTCAACAATGACTCATAACTATACTAGCGAGTTACATAAAAGGCTTTACTAACACCTTCGAATCAATAAGACAACTACGCCAACTCCAATTTGGGTTGAGGAGGTAATACATGAGCAGAATATGTGATGTATCTATAGAAACTTAAAACCAAAGCATAAGCTCAATGTCTTGACTAACAAACAATTCCGCGTTAACCATATAAGCGAAAACCTGCATTGCCAATCCCAGCAATACGTCTTTCCAACTAATATCATACACTCTGCGCGTGTACTGGGTAAAGAAATGGAAACAATTCAGCATCTCAAAGAAGTTCAGAAGAAACAAGATCAAGCACATGAAGCTAACTACAAACAAAGGTGAAGCCATAATTTCAACTTTATGGATTCTGATTTTAGAACGACGATTTCTAGTGCTAATAAGAGTTTCAAATTTAATACATGCAAATTCAGTTGTTTGAGCTAAAGCTACTAGGTTCAGTCAAACCTGTATCGAGGCTTCAGACTTCGTCCCTCACTATGAACAAGCATAACTGGAAAGGGCAATTAATTTGTACTAAAAATCACCACATGTGGAAAAAGTCTAAAACAGCAAAAAAGGACGATGTGTGCTAGAACAATCAAAAGAATCTTCTATGCAACTCTTCATTCAGTGAGTTAGAAATAAATCGAATGACCAAACAAAAATGGGCAGCAGCATCAATTTGATACACTACTGTTAACTCAGCTACTATGACAGGAAACAACCTGAAAAGACTGTAAATTCTTATTGATGATTATGCTGTTTCATGAATTTCATAAATTTTCAGTAATGTAAATAACAAGACTGGATGAACACACTGTCAACACTGTTAAATTTCTGCATTCCCTTAAGCCGCAGTCTCCTACAATCTGAAATTAGTCCAAATGACACCCATGTGTATTCTGTACTAAACGCCATCTAATTTGAAACAAAATCTCAGCTAATAGAGAGAGCATCGTTTACAGGCATTTCATCGCCACAGCTGAGAATACTCAGGGATAACGTCCACCTTGGATAAAGCAAAGAACTAGTAATAGTATTTTCCAGGATTAAAGAGGCTCCCGACCAGTGTCTGTTTCGACAAAATTGGGATCGTACAGCTCATATTCATAATCTGCATCAAGGTTCTCCATTGTTCTGCCAAATACAAACTGCTTTGTTCCCATAGTGGTGAAAGGCATCAGACCAAAAGCTCGGGCAGTTTTGATCTCCCTGGCAATCTTTCTTTGAGCCTTAGCACTAATTTTAGTCTAATACATGACCAAAAAGAAAACAATAAGAAACATATCACGTATTTGGTCCCTAAATCAACTAGTTGATGGATTTGATTACGAACCTTGCTCCTCTTGATAATAATTCCAGCCTCCGTGATGAAGTTAGCTAGGAACCTCACATTCTGAATTTGCAAATTATTTAAACGTATAAATCAGATAAGGAGTCAGAAAGTTCACGACAACATCCCAGTACTTGGGAACTCAGTAACAATGAACTAACCAGCGGGGTAAATTAGGCTAAGAATATCAAATAAGCAATATACATATTTGATGGTGTTTCCACATGCAGATAGTTGGGTGCATACACAGTTACATGTTAAAGACATATATGGTCAAAAAGATGTAGAACCAATAATACTAACCCTGAAATCAGCTTTGCGTAAAACTTCCTCTGTCGTAGTTTCAAATTCATCCCTTTTCATGGGCTTGCGAACTCCTGGTTTTCTAAGATCAAGATCCTGCAGATAATAATGAAAAGCTTAGAGATAGACATGAGAGCACCATAGATTCTAACAATGCAAAAGAGAGCTGGTTGAATTATAGCAACAAATTAGTGCCATCCATAGTTCTGCTCGCGCCACAGAGAACGACGTATGAAAACAAGGTGTACTAGGAATAAACGTTTAGATTACAATTCTAGCACAGCTCAAACATTTTAATGTTTCATGGAAGCTGTTTACATGCAAAAGCGGGTGCAAGATATACACAAAACACACAGAGAATCCTCATATTAAAATATGACACTCAAGATGCTAAATGCATGTAAGATATGCTACCTCTTAATTGTACCTTGATATCATAAGTGTTCCCGGGCCAAAAGGTCATATCTGCTCTGTAAGCATAATCATCCTTATCTATTTCATCAGGATCAAACTTAAAATATGTGGCTGCTTCCTTCAGTTTACCATCCATCCCATCTGATAATGAATCAAAACTCTCATCCAGACCATCGAGGAAACTAGATCTGTTTCCAGTACTGAATGTGGAGCCTGGACCAGATCTATCGTAAGACTTTTCAGCCCTATCAAGCTTTCTGAAAAATGAGTTTGGACTTGGCCTGTTTCCGGTACTATCACCAAAAATTCGTCTTTCAAAGTCTTCAGTAGACTCAAATGAGTTGGTGTTTTGCTTATCATCAGGGGCTGTGCAGGGACAAGAAAAGTTGTTCATTACCAGGGATGTAGACAAGAAAAAAAAGAAAGAGAAAATGAACATACATGAAAAAGTTGATGGCGACCAATGTTGAAGAAACACATTATGACTTCCAGAATAAAGACTCATAATGTCAATTTAGTTCGTACAATATGAAAGGCAGACAATTCCCGAAAGAAAAGTGTGGCCAGTCAAACTTCATGTATCCAAAAGATGCTTGACCATGTTAGAATTCTTTCTGCTGTTCAATCGCAGGATGCACATTTTCATTGTGTCTCCAATGTGTTCAGATGTTTACAACTCAACAATTTTTTCAAGTGTTTCTCTAGGGAAGATGCATAATAATACACTTAAATGAGATGACAGCCAAAGGTGAGTCTTGTAATAGACCCTTATTTATGAACACTCTTCATCCAAGAGATTCATTCGGACAAGGGAAGATCTTCCGCTTTTAATGTCATAGCATTAGTACTTGACCTCAAAGCTCTTTTTTGGGGGGGAGGGGTTGAGAAATAGTAAAATTTGTATTCAGTAAAGCACTAAGGAAGTGCTTTTATAGATCTCGCCCTTAACGTCCGTTCTCCCAGAGTTTCAAAGCGATTCTCACTCTCAGCGCATCCTTTTTAAGCCAAAAGCAACCAGGGCAAGAATACCATGGTCGTACAAAGGGGGGCAGGTCAAATTCCAACACTATAGCCTTCAAAAAGTTTAAAGGATAGATCCAAAATGATCACTAGGCAAAACCCTTGGATGCAGATAGTCTAATATTCTACATTATATTGTGTGATCTACCCCTTATTCTACATTAAATTGTGATCTACTCCTTATTTACAAAAATTACATGCTTCTTGGATACTCCTCAAGCTACGCAAGTGATATAATTCTTTGTGAATAGAAAGACATAAATACTGTCTAAAAGCTGGCTATCTCCACTTCTCAAATTATCAGAAAACTTGGCAAAAAAAAAGGTCGGTCAAGTTGTAGAAGCTTTCACTCTTCAAGTGATATTCAATCATCAAAAACAGTGTCCTATAGCTTTGTAGACGATATTCAATCATCAAAAACAGTGTCCTATAGCTTTGTAGACTAGCAAGCACATACCTCATTTCGAACATTTAATCAAAGGTTTAAATCTTTTTGCTTAAAAAAATTAAACAAGTATCAAAACAGAACATAAAAACCCAAAAAATTTAGTATCTAACTGAAGGCAGAAACTTTAAGCTTAATTAGGTGAAATAAAAAATTGCTGAACAACGATAATAGAATTCAAAAAAAACTAAAACTTACACATTTTTCAGCTATAAAAATGGCAATTTTGATAGAGAATTGAAATAAATATACCTACCAAAATTCGGAAGTGCAGAAAAGGTCCTGAAAACTTGAGGATACTGATGAGAGGAACGAGATAAGCAAGCATTCGCAGTCCATTTGAAGAAAAGCCTCATTTTGCCTACAATAATGCAAAATCACATTACCTTTATTTGGACAAACCATTCGATTTCATAATTGGATTCAAAATCATAAAATATAAAGTAACAAATACTTGCAAGAGTGATCTTGGATTTGCCTACTGGGCGCTTGATATGTTTCAAATGCAGCAAAAAACAGAGAGGGAAAAAACCTAGAGCTAGAGTCAGAATCTACCAAAATGATGAAGATTGAGGAATGAGAACCTGTTCAGTGTTGAAAACTTGAATTCTTGCTCACAATCGCAAGCTCAGAGTCGTCGTCTCGTCGAGGAGGGAGAAATGAGAAGTGAGAAATTGAGAACCCTAATGTGACTAACGCCTCATTTGTTTTTAATTTTTTATTAAGACTAAGTCTCATTATCCCGCTATCAATTAATAATAGAGTAAATACCGAAAACCCGCCCCAAAACCTCGTTAACTATATATTCCTTCGTATTAAAACACGCCGTCACATTTTTAATAGTTCCTATAACCCTCGATTTGGGTTATTGGGTTATTTCCGTTAAGACAGTGATTGTCTTCTTTCTGCAAAGTATTCAATTTGGATTGTTTAGTATAAAATTGGCCCATTATTATTTGCCATTCGATCTCTCTTATTGTTGGTATTCCATGTCAATTCCAAGTCTTCCACATCCCACGGAAACAAATTACAGTCACCAACTTCATCCACTCCTTTCCACTTGAGGACAGAAGAAAGAGTTGCACGAAGAAAATATGCGAGTGTACTTTTTAAATATATAATAGAATTTTATGCGGATTATTTCCCTTGCATTCTGAAAACTTCATTGTTCTCATTTATCTTGTTCTTCTGCAAATATTTTCAAAAGTTTGAAGAGAAATTCAATAACAAGAGAAGGAGAATTTCAGATTAAATCAGATGGAGAAACAGAGGAGAAAGGTAAAAAAAAAAAAAGGAGAAGAAAGGTGAAAGGACGAAGAAGAAAAATGAAATATAAAGAAAATGAGAAAAAAAATTAAAAAATACAAAATTTTAGAAAAAATAAAGGCTAACTAGCAGTTAGACAATGTCATATGAGACATTTTGATGGATTTTTCTAGCCTTCACGCGCTCTTTCACGAGTTGCTACACACAATACACCGCATAAGTAGCGAAGGGGTTTTAATACGAAGGAGGATATAGTTTAGGGTTTTTTGGGGACAGACGATAGTTTAGGTAGGAAACTGACAAAATTGTGATAGTTCAGTCGAGTTTTAGGATATTTACTCTTGATAATATAAAAACTATGTTTAAGTATAAAATAAAAAATTTAAACTTTGAAAATTAATAAATATTTATCCTATATATAGCTAACTCAATAAATAAAAAGAACATCGACCATAAAAGTCCTCAATTATTATTCAATATGTCCAACTTAAACTCATCTCTAGTTCTACATTTTCAGCTTTTCACTTTCAGTAAGAATACATAACTTTTGAAGATTTAAGAGCTTTTCTTTAAAAAAAAGATTAAAAAACTATTTTCAAGTTCATTCTAAAATTAAGATACAATCAAGGTCAATTAATCGACAAAAGATATTATTTTTCTTTTTTGCAAACAAAATTCATGCTATATTTTTTAATCAATAAAAAATATATATGAACTATTATAAAAGCATGATTCCTCAAAACGGAATATTGATTAACATTTTTTTTTATATTTATGAATTTAAAATCAATTAAAACTTAAGATCGAAATATTGAATTCCATATTAATAGTCAATCTTCAAAAGTGGAAAAATGACTATCAATTCAACTAATAATAGTAAACTTTAAAAAATTATAACCATAAAATTGAATGAGAAATCAAAGCAGAGAAGATACTCCAAGGAGATAGAAAAAAAAAGAAGAGATTTATAATTACATTGTTAAAAAGATCAAGTAGGTTAGACAGTGATGGTCTAACTGAACTCTACTTATAAATTGTGGTTGGTTGGTTCCCAAGAGGATTTAAATCTTTCGGGAAGAGTTGACTTCAAGGAAATATTCCTAATGTAAATAGAAACGAAAATATAATTGTACTTAACTTTTACATATTTCAAATAAGGAAAGACTTAATAGTTAAAAATTATATTAATTTTAAAATTTTAAATATTAGAAAAAGAATTTATTAAATTGACGATTTTAATTTTAATAATAATTTATTAAGTCAATCTAGTCTTAAGGTACATGATTTGCTTGTACGCCTCTATCCATGAATGTAAACTTCTTAAAACTTAGATAATATTATTAAAGAATGTATTTGTATTGTAAAATTAAAATTAGAGGGAAAAATTCAATTCCCATTGTAAAGTAAAAATTAAAGAAAAAAAAATTAAATCTTGAAACAATAAAGGAAGAAATCTTACCGGACAAAAATCCTCAAATACTTTATCGGGTAATTCCCATATTATTTAATTTCATTAAAAAAACATGAATACCTAACTTTTAAATTAATTGACCTGCAGATTTTATATCAAAATGAAAAAGTTCACCAAAAGTTTTTTGAATTCCTGTCAACATATTATATTACATATGGTCATGATATTTTAAACAATCACAAATCTTTCAGTTAAAAACTCTATATCATTAATATTAGAAATCTAAAATAATAATCTGCACACAATATGCGAAAAAAATAAAAACAACACAAAAGATAAAAGTCGAGTTTAGTTGAGAATCAAAGCTCAAATATAATGATTAAAATAATGCAGTAGAAGCGGTTTCCACAAGTTAAATAAAACTTTGTAAGCAAAAAATAGGGAATCTTACATAAATGTTCCAAAAAAGTTTAAATTTATCGCCTTTAGCCATTAATCATAGATTTACCAAAATTAGTCAAACACATATAAAAATTGAAAACCCAAAAGAAATAAGGTTCTTTCTCTCCAAGAATCACACACAAAGATCTTCTTCCATATTTTAAGCGTGATTAGCAATATTAGATGTAAGACGGAAATGAAATTTCATGGATGATGTAGCAAATAAGGTGATGAATACAAAACAGATATACAAGATTCCAAAAATCCAAGCAAAGAAAGATTTTTTTCAATGGGTATGGTTGGGATTCATTGAAAACATATAGATAAGTCAATATGCAAAATTTGAGGAAGATTGAAGGTGATTTGGTATCAAAATTTGTAGTTAAAATCGAATTCAAAAAATTCTTCTACGACACATGTATCACGCATATATCTCACATGCAGGTATACATGGATATACATGTGATACACAATTGATAGAAATATGATACA